GATATCGAGAATTACTTATCATTTTTATCGTATATTTGAAACTTCATTATTTTTTTCTTTATTTCTTTTCACCATAGATCCGTTATTCATTGTTCAATTTCATATTCTATTCCTTATATTTTCCTGTGTATAAAATCTATATGATGATACTATTTAACAATTATTCGCCGAAGGCGAGGTGATTATCGGTGAATAAAAACCGAGACGAAGTCGAGGTTTTTATTCACGATAATCACCGAGCCTGAGGTGAATAATTGTTTTAGTATAATTTCATAGGTGATTATTTGGAAAAATATAAGAAAATACACATTTCTTCGTCATTTAATTGACAAAAAGGCTTCGGCCGTCATTTTGAAAATCGCTTAGGTGATTATCGCGTAATAATCACCTCAACGGCAACCAATCAGCGTGGAGAATTTTCAATAATCACCTATGTAATTATACTAATATTCATTATTCCGTTCCCACCCTTTCTTGATTGATTAGGATTATTTCCTATGCCTTTATTTCTCTACCCTCTGTTGTATACTCGCAATATTTTCTCCCTCAACCCTGTTGCTATTTTCATAATTTTGCAGCTTGACAAGGCCAGAGTTGATCTCATGAATAAAAATAATCCTCGGTGAGTTTAGATCAAAGCGCAATTTAGGCAGAGTGGAATGTGAAGGTCAAATTCAAACGTTCACATACTAAAGAGATTTGTGGTGCCCCCCCCCCCCCTATAATGACCTACAGAAATGCTCTTATGAAAAGTTAAAATCTTCTGAACTCGTCTCAGAATGCGTTCTATATAGAGACCCTAGAAATTCAAAATTTCTCCAGGGGAGCATCCTAGAATTTTTGTGCCATTGGCTCGTGTTCCGAATCACCCTGGGTATGCCACTGCATAATGTCACTCTATGTTTATTATACAATGACAATGTCAATGACAATGACGTGAATGTATCTCAGAACCAAAGAGATCAGCTTCCTAAAAGGGGCACGCCCTCCAAAAGTGGCGTCGCCGATCATTCTCATCAGCGGAGTTTACAATATCTAAAAGTGATACTATTCATTATGGTTCTTATTGTTACTTGTTTATATAAATTATAAACCTAATTTAAATACCTTTTATAGATTCATATTAAGAAACTATATTGCTGAAAATGCTATAAGGGCTGCTGAGAAGGGTGACTATAGTGTTGTAAGTATAAATTATCTTTTTAAACCTTAAAGGATTAGTGTCACATCAGGAATTCGCAGGCTCAAACTCCTGCTGGCGGCCATTTTTCGGGACGAATAGATTAGATGATCTAGAAAGTTTTTATAATCCGTCATATATTTAAACCATCCTTTCATAATCCTCGCTCTTTTTGTCTGATTTGTATCAGAAATGTGCCAAACAAGGTATTTTTATCGCTATTTGTTGTATTTGAATAAAATGTAAACAATAACAAAAGCCCGCAATGCATGACCCTGACACTAATCCTTTAACATGTAGAAAAGCTACCTTATGGTTCCATACGCCATATGGTTCTTATGGTTCCATACGACTGCCTACAGTACCTGCACTGGATGTTCCTGAGACTATTACTTTTTTATAATTTTAACGAATAAGACCTTTAATTTATACTAAGCATGCATGATTTGAGATGTTCAGTCAACATGGCTGATGCTCGACCAGTTTAGTGAAGAACAAACTGGAACTTTTAGATCTGCTCCTGAAACTTCCACAGAGGATTCCTCTGAGTGAAAAATCAATTCGGAGAGCACAATTGTTTACGATACATGCAATGTTCGAATTGTCAACTTCTAGGATAAGTATTCTAAATATTGGGCATTTGGCACGATAGAACAGGATGTTGAAGGATTTTCGTAGATGAAAACTTCGAGCGAAAGCTAGCTATATATTTTCGAGTTTAGACCTACCCAGGAGTGGTTGCGAAAAATGCAAATATACACTCTTCGGCAAGAATTAAACCTGTGAAGTCTGTTTCGTTCTCCAATGTACTGTACCTATATTTTCCTGGAATTATTTCAAAGATACAACTAAACTGTATGGTGTTATACCATTTCCAGGTGCAATACGTTTTATCGGTGCTAGAATCACCGTTTTCTGATGATGTGGAACCAATGATTGAGTCGCAAAGTAAGTCAAGCATTGAGTCGCAAAGTGAGTCAACTGAAGTGGAGGGTGGATCAGACCATATTGAATTCACATTTGACCATAAAGCACCACGTTGGGCTCACCAACTTCGTGTTACTTGATCTTCGTAAGCAACTTTTGAAACACGTGGAATTTAAAGGCTTACTTACTGGTACTATATATTTGCACAGAAACGTGCATATTGAAGAGTCTTCTGGATATATGAATGGCCATAGGGTCTTCTAATTTATTACCTTCGCTAGGAGGTTATGTTTCATTCCGCGTTTGTAAGTGTGTCTGTGTGTTTTTGTCTGTCTGTCAGCATGATGACTCAAACTATACCAAACGTATTAATACGAAAATCTGGAACTAATGGACATTGCCCAAGGACAAATTTCTCAAATTTTGGTTAAATTTGGATGAGAAATTGGCAAACGTTTGCCTTGCTTTGCCGGGCAGACTAAACTGATTTGAGAGCCTGTTCGCAGGCTAACTAAACTGAATGCATGATTGGCCCATTGTATAATTTATGCATGATACATAACTTAATTCCCTGGCGGAGGTAGGTATATGCAGTCTTCGAGTGCCCTTTAGCTTAATATAGTATGCATCATAATGCTGTATTGTTTCCAGTAAGTATATTTGAATATGCACACGTGTTCAGAAGTTACCATACCTATATAACCATAATTTAGATCTCTTGTACACTGATCTGTTATGAAGGCATTGGTGAAAGCAAAGAAAGCCTTTGCTGGAAAACTGGTTACGAACAATTCATACAATATAATGTTCAAGAACTAAGGTTCTTTCCTCATAATGTATATATTAAAATAAATAAATTAAATCACTGGTGTGTGGTAAAGTAGATTTTTGATTCAGGCAATAACACAGTAGAAATTTTTAATCCCTGTAGTTTGTCAGTTTTATCTGTCGTCACTGATTATATCCTACAATTGCAACAACAACAAGGAGCTTCGGTGGTGAAGTGGTTAGCGCACTTGCCTTTCACCTCTAAGGTCGCAGGTCCAAATCCCCCCAATGCGGCTCGAACCCAGTCCTCATGCGAAAAGAGCAAAAGCCAACGCTCTGCCGAAAGTCGTGGGTCCCCTCCGGGTACCCAGTTCTCCCCCACAGGGAAAGTTGACAGAGTGGGTTAGGTAAAAGGGCCCACAGCAGTTGGCATATGCTGTCGCGGTGACCCTGCCCTAGTTGGCAAAGCTAAATAAACAAAAAACAACAACAATAACTGTTCCGAAGCATCTCTCCTTTTTATTAGTCATTGTACTCTTTCAAACCTCTGATAATCGATGAACAACCGATCTACTAAAATAGTTATTGTATTTTGTCTCATGTCGCAATTATTGTATTTTAATGAGGACAGTTTTGAGAGGGAAATTGTAAAATCTTTAAAACAGTTAGTGGTCATCGATCTGCGAATGAGCGTGCGAGAACTTAATTTACAATTCTGTAAGTGTGTTTAACTCATTTCACTCTTCACATGCTTATTTAATAACTGCTGGCATTTAAGAATATTTTAACCTCTCATGCCTTTTTAATAACTACAAGTCTTTGTATTTAACACCTGAAAGCTATATCGTATATTGCAGACATATTAGATATGACTATGAGGGTATGGGTATCATAATATCTATTTTTCATTTTTTTATTAAAATGTTTACAGTTGCATTTAATTGCTAATATCGATTGTAGATTACCTGCTGTTTTCTTTAGTCTTCGGAAGAACATTTCCCAGCGGCATTAATATATAATACATCAAGCCAAACGAAAGTGTTTGAGATGCTAATTATGCTTTGTATTTTTCCCGCATACTAATCTCAAATGACAAATGTAAATTACTTTCAAACTCTAGTTATTTGTGTTAATCTGACGTTAGTATCTACGAGACATAATAGCTGGTATTTAACGAGAATTTGGACAACACTTGAATAGAATCAGCATATCAGTTGAAGTTAAAGTAAACTAAGATCATCCTGAAAATTACTCGCAATAAAAGGCGTCACAATTACAGTGTATTTTATTCCAAGCTGTATTTGCAAGCGTTTCAGTATCCCACGGTACAGTATGAATCATTTCGCGCAAAGTAAATAATAGACATTCCACCTATTCACATCGAAAGCAATGTTGCAGAATAATTGCTATGTGCTGTGTTTGCTCTTATCGCTGGCTGATTCCACTCAACCTGGTCTTAATTTATCTCAGTGAGTATTTGAAGTTTTGTTATAGTCGTCTAGGACTAGGTTCTATATATATAAGTCTCATATAAAATTCTTCTTGTCACATATAAGCATTTGTATTGTGATTTAGAAAATGAGGTCAGTATCGCAATTCGCAATATTATGTATATTATAAACTATATTATACAGTTTAACGAGTTCTTTATGCTCGATTTAAAAGACATAATCTATCTGGGCGAACTTGGACAAAGAAATGATAGTTCGTTCACATCAAATTGGCAGACATTACGTGATTTCCATGTTCCGGCAGAAGGATGTTATAGTTCGTCTATTATAGACATCAGTTGTAATAATAGCAATACAGTAGCAATATACCAGTATTGCTCGTTTGGAATCTTACTAGTATAAAAGAAGTGTCGCGCATGATCATGACAATCTTGTTGCGTGTGTTAGTGACGTGTGTCAGCGCGTTGTATTAGTGTTGCATGTTTTAGTGTGTTTACCGGGTATTATGAATGTCCAATAATCGACGTGAAGGCCTGATTCCACGAAGGCGAAATTGTGTCATGGTTGCACATGAGTGATTCTATTGAATTTTGCCATTTTATTCGCTTTCGCAATGATTTCAACTGACTTCTGCTCACTGACTTCTTGTCTTTACTGCAGGTGCACGAATCATTTCGTGCGAAATGTTTCGCATTTCGCGGAGAAAAAGCGCTCGTGGAATCGGACCTTCAGATGGAATATTTTCAGAGAAAAATGGACCAGTTTAGGTTGCAACTAAGACTATAAGCTAGCCGTAAACACCTGCGTTTGTCTATTCGAACTAATCTAGCATGAAAAGATTCCAGTTAGCCCAGCCAATCAGCATGAGGCTTGTTTATATGATTAATAAAGAAATATGACGTAAGAATTGATAATGCCATTTCTGTCGAACTACTGTATTTTTTTTTGAAAAGCGAATGCACATGAGCATCAGTGAAAGTTACTTTGATGTGACTTCGTTTACCAGTATCATATGGTCATATATATATATGTTTGCTCATCTCATTGACGATTTTTTGGGATTCAGAATGTTTTTCTTCCCAAAGCATGTTTTTGAGATCAGTAGGACTAGGACAGTAGGAGATCCACCCATGAAACAAAGCCACGCGCCCGTGATTATTGATAAACTCATGAACTTTAAGCTTCGCTAATGCTTTCCATTTCCCGGGTATAAATAACCGAGCGGAATTAGTACTCGCCGTTGGGACTCGGGGATAAATTGAATAATCCTATATATAGGATTATAGCATCCCCATGCATACAGTATAATGTATCTCACTTATTTCCTCCTCTATATAGAGTAAGTAATTGGGCTGATGATATTTCCAGCAAAATTGTAGAAATGTGGAAAGACATCTCAGGTTATCAGCATCTGAAAAAGGTATATCTTTATGAACGCCCAGTCTAGTTTTCTAGCACTAGTAGATGTTTTTTGTAGATAGGATTTTTGAACATAAATTTATTTATACGTTTTATACCTACCAAGACAACTGTGATGCAACTACTATATATGCAACTATAGGCCATGTAAAAAAATATCTCGGTTTATCATCCGTGGCAGCAGAAAAAAAGGCGGGCGGATTTTATTTTTATTTTTTACCGAATCACATTTAGTAGATGCACGGAAAAATATGCTCAAACACGCAACACAGTTGTAGGGTATAATATTTTCAATACTATTAGTATTACACTTTTCATTAATATTACAATTGCCAAGGCCCAAGCGCAATGTCATACACGTTGTCAACATGAACTCGTGTCAGTCAAAATGGCCGACCATCGTGAAAATCCCGCGTGGGTTTCCCGCACGGTCCGCCGGAAATAGTGATTTTTTAAAAATAAAAAAAATCCATGCGGAACGAAAAATGGATGCGGGCCCTGATGATAAACCGGGATATTTTTTACATGGCCATAATATAGAACTGCTATAAAAACGTATATAAATTTACGTTCAGAAATTCCATCTACAAAAAGCCCAAAAATCACGATTGATATTTACCTACATACCGTCCACTGCCACTGACATCACCTATACATAATAATTGTAATACTCAAAATCGCAGCCGCAGGTTCAATTCCTGCTAGACGGCCGTGGAGGGTGATATAGTTGCATTTTTCGCGAATGTATATAAATAATAAATTTACGTTCGAAAATTTCATCTACATAAAACCCATCTACTATTATACTCCCCAAAAATATAGATGTTTATCGAAATGACTTTGTGACAATAATTGTTCATCACATATACCTATGCCTATATTTACATCTTTTTCCCACTGTACGTAGGCGTATGAAGAAAGCTTGAAGAAGGTGGCCCACGTTGACTCGAAGCAACTACTTATTGAGAGTGCGCATAAAATGGAACAATATTTCAGCAAGAAAATCGATTCTTTACAGGTCAGTGTTCGGTTTGAAATTGAATTTCTATTGAATTCATGCCAGATAAGTATTATTTAACTGAATTAGGGAAGATTCCTCGCGTAAGTCATAGTCCAACCACGTGATAATTTATCACGCAGATATACACTCATGCAGTATTTCAATTTTGGTTTTGTACATTCCATGAAGCACGAACAGCAAGATAGATATACCAAACTTTAGAACTTCAATATTTTTAGCTGTTTAGGTAGCCTATGACCATAGCTCCTTTTTGTTTTGGCAATTCCCAGGGGTATATGCATGATTTATAATATATTTCACCCTATATAAAATATCTTTTTAGTTATTCCCATCATAACACTCGGCCTTGGCGTTTGGATTGTACATTTCACTATATATTGTTTGTAGCAACCTTTCCGAAAGTACTTAGCCTTGGCTATAGAGCTTCGTTTTCGATATTGAGATATTGGCTTTGGAGCTCCTCATTGTACGTGTTACCAATGACTTAATTATACCACAGTATTATATGAAGGTCTTTGATATTATCTGTATACAGCTAATTCAAAAAAGGTTGGTCCTTTGCAAACCTTAAACTCTAAGCGCACAAAGCTTAATGGGAGCACAAATTTCAAGCTTAGTAGTGGAATATTGCAGTTATAGTTGTGAATGAATTGTTCTCGTAAGAAGATATTTTCATATACCATGTCTCTAAGAAATGGACCCCGTGCATATTACTAAACTGATTAAATGATGCTCCCATTATGCTTTGCACGCTTGGAATTTAAGGTTTAAGGTTTAGAGTTTAAGATTTCCAAAGAGCAACGGACAATCTTTTTTGAATAGCTGTATATGATTTCGTAAATGTGTCGCCTGTACTGACAAGATAGAGGGCTCTAAAGCCAATATCTCCTAACGAACTGACTCCATAGCTAAGGCTGGGTATTTTACCTGAAGGTAAAATACAGATTTGCTACCATACATTGTGCAATAATATTATAGTGAAGCAATATAAAAAGTTTATATTAACACCAAACCCATCACACAGAATTAACAGCGATTTTTTCCCCACTATATTTTAGAGGATAAAAACAAGGGCTAAAATTGCGTACGCTCGACGAAAGGACGCATCTGTTACGGCAGAAGTAAGTTTGCTGGCATACTAGACTGTTTATTTGATGGATTGAATATTTATACAACAGTTATTGAAAGTCCTTGAATACTTTCAATTCTTCTTGTTTTAGTGTTTGGATTTTTATGAAATTTATTTGACAT